ACTACAAGGGTTCAGTGCCTGTTTATATCTAGGGCAAGGATAGACAAATTAATATAGAATTCAGGAGCCAGTCAGTCGAATACAGGAGCCAGCTCCATTGACAACTAGAGGAAACCTCAAACGTTAAGAGCCACCTGTGATTTTTAGGACGCATTGGTTACCTGTCTCCTGGGAAATTGTCCAGCCCTGATCTAGGGAGTGGAGTAAAGCAGATTTTCTTACCTGATCCCCGCTCTCACCGGCTCACTCCGGCCTGCCTCTTCTTCCCTTCACTCCGGCGGTCTAAGGACCACGTATGTCATCATGTCTAATGCAGGTTCCATAGACCTTGCATTAGATGCAAGGACAACAAGGGACATTCCACCAGCAGAGGAAAGTGCTGACACACAGAAGGAGCGGGGATCAGGTAAGTAAATCCTCTTTACTCCGGCCCCCTATACACAAAGAGCACTTAGTTAAAGTCTGTCTATGGGCAAGTCAATAATCTACCCTTGTATTGCAGGTTCACCTTTTAAGTTGCATTAGTGAAATAAATGAACTTTGCACGATATTCTAATTATTCGAGTTTCCCCTGTATATATACGCTATAACCTTCATCCTCTCTAACCCCAATCCAACCTGGCCTGGCCCCCTCAACCGTCAATCACTTTATAACCAACAACTATTGCGTGTTTCTTGGATTGTACTTTGCTGGAATATGTTTCTATGTCTATTGTTAATTATAAAAGTATTCAAATAAACAATGATACAAATAAGTATAAATATCCATTATGAAAGAATTGAAAACATATCAAATTATATCACAACTACCGATAAAAAGATATTTTGCTATAATTTGATTAATTTTGAACACTTCTGTTCTATCACAGACACAGACATCAACAACATCCAGTAATGGGAATAGTTTATGGACCCCCTCAAAAAAGTCCTAAAATTTTGCACAACTCTAGCGACAGTTTTTTTTTTGTGTACAGCATTCCACAATAGGATGGCGCTATATAGGGGAAATAGTGACACCGTATCACATAAGAATGGAGATTGCACCGGTTCTACGTGGAGAATTGAAGGGTCAGTTCACTTTCATAGTTCAGTTATATGTGAGATCTGATGGGGCGAGTCACAAGCAGGATTCTTAATCGGTGTGACAACTCCCTTCCACATTTCCCTATAGGAGTCTCACTCCTCTTGAAACAAATAAAAATGGGTGTTCTCACTCCATTTAAAAGGGTGGAATCCCACGCCAATGTCAGTACAAGGTGTGCAACTCAAGAAAAACCCCCCTATTCCCGACAGGTGATTTAGGCTGGGTTCACACCAAGGCGTATCGAATTTGCGCATTTGTTGCGTGTTTCGTGATGCACGTTTTTACGCGACAAACGCGCGTTTTCGAGGGCTACTTGGCTGTATCCCAATGGAAACTTGCAACAAAAATGCCCCAAAGAAGCTCTTGTACTTCTTTGGGCGTAGGGCGTTTTGCAGCGCGTTTATATGGCCTGTAATACACCCAGGTGTGAACCATACCCATAGGAAATAATGGGATTTCGGTGTTTGAGCGTTTTGCAGAGCGTAGGAACGCGCTACAAAACGCCCAGGTGTGAACCGGGCCTTAAAGTTGAACTCCAGAAAAACAAATACACAGATGAAAAACATGTATGGGAGTGAAAGGATTTACAATTCTGAACCTTACACAGCTCTTCCACACAACACAGTCCTGCCTTGCCTAGCAGGGCAGAGGATCTGATTTTCCTTTGATGTGGTTCATCGTCCACAACCCCCCCGCCAGCCTGTGACTGGACAGTAAAGGAGAAGCAGGAGACTGATGAGTTGATCTATCTGTCACTCTGCTCTCTTCTCCTATCACCATGTCCCTTGTTAGCACATCATCACAACTGATTGGCAACTTGTGCTGCTTCTCCATCTCCGAATCTAAGCTCTGCTTTACAGGGACTGCAGGAGGCTGATACCAAGTCATATTCTACTTAAATTGATGTTTTATTGACTATAGAGCTGCATTCATTTGTGTCTTTTATATTTGTCTGGAGTTCAGCTTTAACTTGCAAACATCTACCAGAAACTGAATAACCAGTTCATAGTGGACTGACCCTTAAAAAATTTCACTATTACACTATCAGGACTGTCCTGTATGATGAGGATGAATACGTTATATCAAACATGATATTTCTTGGACACATTCAGAAAATAACTCTTTAATAGGCACAAGCTAAAATGTAAACACTGTAAACAGCAGCAGCGGAAAGTAACAAAACTGCGACTATTGTCTGTTGGATGAATTGCTCTCCTACCATCGCACTTTGTTCCAGGTCTGGGTGGCTCCGAGCGGTGATCCCGCCACCATGGGTACTTGGATGGGATTTGGGTGTTTGTTCATGATCATATCCAGCTTCTCCTCCAGAGATTTGCAGGTGGCCTCCAGAACCTGCAGCTTGGACTCGATGCTGTCTAGCCTCAGGCAGATGGTCTGATTGATGGAGAACAGGAAAGACTGCAAAGGAAAAGCAACGCCGTTCAGGATCACAAAGCAATGTTCACAAAGGAAACAGAACCAAGCTGAAACTTGTGTATTTTCAGGCATTCAAAAAACAGAGGTCGCAGACAAACCTAACTCACTCATCCTAACCTCCTACTTCAAGGAGCTGCAAAGGGCTAGTGCTGACTTTAAAGGAGAACTATGGGGAGAGTGAAATGCACTCATCCCCATCTATAGAGCTGAAGTGTGACACTACACCTATCACACGTCGGCTCTATACACTGAGAACTGAGCTATCTCATACCACCGATCACTCACCTCACGATCTTCTCCATGCAGAGAGTAGTGACTGTCAGTCACCGCCCCCCACTGGGATTCCCCGTCTCCCCTCTCTGTTCCTCCAGTGCCGACTGAAGTACGGACCGGGCAGGCACAGCTCTAGAGAGGCAGAGCCAGCTGTCAATCAAGCAGCGGGGTGGATTCCTAAACCCTGATGAAGGGGGGAGTTTGTGTGGCCCTTGAAATGTGCTGGCTGTCTTTCAACTGTGAACCAATGACATCATTAAAAAAGAATGGACTCTTGGACATTTTCTTGGGACGCTCTAATTAGACACACAGCAACCTGCAAGGCCGAACTGGGATACGTGGGTGCCATCTGCCTGGCTGTGTAGCGTATTACAAGACTGGCTGGAAACAATGACATGTCCTCTGGCAGGTAACACAATATACACATGTGCATTTCAAATGTCTATTTAGCTGCTTCCCAGGAATATGAAACGCTACACTAAACCGCTCATTACTCTCGCCCCTATCTACCCTAAGCACAGGTACATTTTAGAGCTCAACAAAATTTGCAGCTCCCCCAAATTAACTGCCTGTTAAATGTAATAATTATAACTAGAAGCTGGTCAGTCATTCAGACAAATTTGCAAGCAGGGATATATATGTTAAATCTCTGACATTAGATATTTGATTTGGTGTATGGGGAACCGTGAGTACAACGATAGGTCCAATGGGACGCAGCCTCCATGTAAGAAGAGAGGAGTTCACTTCTCCTGACCTTTAATATATCCGAATATTTACAACATAGGAACTGAAAGCTTAAGTGTCCTCACTAGGAATATTTATATATATATGAAAGTCACATTATGCTTCCTGCAATGCCCTAAAAATCAAACCCCATATTACAAACCGTGCTGCATATTCCAGATGTCTAATTTTCAGAAACATATCCAGCTACGAGATTAAGCTGGGCCATAATTTACCTCCATTCTTTACAAGCTCGCTGACAGAGAGACAGAGGTAAAGGCAGGAATGTAATCTCTACCTTCGCACAGAAAATGATTTGCATTAAGATATCATTTGTAGGATGAAATCTGAGGAATGCCAAGCTTGCCATCTAGTGGTAGGAAGTGAGAACGACGAGCGAACCATTGTTATCTATAAAACCCATTGGCTCGTGTGTTTAGATGGCACAATACATCATTTTATAGCTGCACAATACGCTGAAGACAAATCACATTAATTATATATGAAGTGCACTGTTCCAGGTATGAATGGCTTTGCTTAGATATGGAAGAAAATTCAGTCAATTGCACACAAGTATACAGACGACATCACATCTTGTGGTGCTGCAGATCTATCCTGTACTTCTGTATTTATGCTCTGCTCCATGGAAAACATCCGCTATAAAGGTGCACAGAATACAAGCTTTAGCTCAGTGCTTGCCTTCCAGCAGAATAATACTCCTTGCTTGCTTCACAACATGCTGATCTGCACCCATTACAGCCCAACAAGCTCTGTATGCTGATCTGCACCCATTACAGCCTAGCAAGCTCTGTATGCTGATCTGCACCCATTACAGCCTAGCAAGCTCTGTCTGGTGATCTGCACCCATTACAGCCCAACAAGCTCTGTCTGCTGATCTGCACCCATTATAACCCAGCAAGCTCTGTCTGCTGATCTGCACCCATTATAACCCAACAAGCTCTGTCTGCTGATCTGCACCCATTACAGCCCAACAAGCTCTGTCTGCTGATCTGCACCCATTACAGCCCAACAAGCTCTGTCTGCTGATCTGCACCCATTACAGCCCAACAAGCTCTGTCTGCTGATCTGCACCCATTACAGCCCAACAAGCTCTGTCTGCTGATCTGCACCCATTACAGCCCAACAAGCTCTGTCTGCTGATCTGCACCCATTACAGCCCAACAAGCTCTGTCTGCTGATCTGCACCCATTATAACCCAACAAGCTCTGTCTGCTGATCTGCACCCATTACAGCCCAACAAGCTCTGTCTGCTGATCTGCACCCATTACAGCAGAGGTTTACTGTTAGGTAAGTTTAGGCTGCAGATTCATGGAAATGGCCATATACAGTATAAGCAGATTTATTCCCCAGGGAGCAAAATCCATGTCCACACACACCTTAAAGAGTTAAAACAGGATAACAAACCTAAAAATCCCAATCTATTCTAATGTTTTCTAACATATGGTCTACCCGTTTGCACAAATTGGATGAATTTGACTCCACGAGATGTTGAAAGGTGATGCGAGGAATCTGACACCATGCCTGATGAATAGCACTGTCCAGTTCTGTGAGATTTGATGGTTGTGGAACCAGCTGCCTGATTGGCTCTTTCAACTTCGTCCCACAAATGCTGCAATTGGATTGAGATCTGGTGATTGTGGGGCCACCTAAGCAAGGTAAAGTCTCCCTCATGTTCCTGAAACCACTCCTGCACAATACGAGCACCGTGGCATGGCGCATTGTGGTCCAACGACGTACTGATGGGATGGTCATAATAATGTGCCTTTGTTCTCATGTTAAGTGAGAATACAGATACGTAAGACTCCTGGGATATGGCACACAAAGTGGTCTTGAACTTTTCACTTGCATTACCATCATACAATTGTGTACAAATAAACAATCTTGGGCATGCAGCTTTATTTTTCTTTAGGTGAACTAGTATTACTATATGCACAGTTTGATATGTGTACACAGGAGTTTGGTGTGTGTTAGTTTGGAATACAGGTTTCTTGTTTTGGGAATGTTCAGTGATTATTCCAGAGACTCGGAAGAGATTTGGTAGGCCACTTTATCCGATTTAATTTTTGTTAAATTCCTCAATCAGTGGCAGTGCTTTTGTTTTGTGTAAGGGAGCGAGAGGGCATAGGGGTCAGTACTGTGAGCGTGTGAGAGCATAGGGGTCAGTACTGTGAGCGTGAGAGAGCACAGGGGTCAGTACTGTGAGCGTGAGAGAGCACAGGGGTCAGTACTGTGAGCGTGAGAGAGCACAGGGGTCAGTACTGTGAGCGTGAGAGAGCACAGGGGTCAGTACTGTGAGCGTGAGAGAGCACAGGGGTCAGTACTGTGAGCGTGAGAGAGCACAGGGGTCAGTACTGTGAGCGTGAGAGAGCACAGGGGTCAGTACTGTGAGCGTGAGAGAGCACAGGGGTCAGTACTGTGAGCGTGAGAGAGCACAGGGGTCAGTACTGTGAGCGTGAGAGAGCACAGGGGTCAGTACTGTGAGCGTGAGAGAGCACAGGGGTCAGTACTGTGAGCGTGAGAGAGCACAGGGGTCAGTACTGTGAGCGTGAGAGAGCACAGGGGTCAGTACTGTGAGCGTGAGAGAGCACAGGGGTCAGTACTGTGAGCGTGAGAGAGCACAGGGGTCAGTACTGTGAGCGTGAGAGAGCACAGGGGTCAGTACTGTGAGCGTGAGAGAGCACAGGGGTCAGTACTGTGAGCGTGAGAGAGCACAGGGGTCAGTACTGTGAGCGTGAGAGAGCACAGGGGTCAGTACTGTGAGCGTGAGAGAGCACAGGGGTCAGTACTGTGAGCGTGAGAGAGCACAGGGGTCAGTACTGTGAGCGTGAGAGAGCACAGGGGTCAGTACTGTGAGCGTGAGAGAGCACAGGGGTCAGTACTGTGAGCGTGAGAGAGCACAGGGGTCAGTACTGTGAGCGTGAGAGAGCACAGGGGTCAGTACTGTGAGCGTGAGAGAGCACAGGGGTCAGTACTGTGAGCGTGAGAGAGCACAGGGGTCAGTACTGTGAGCGTGAGAGAGCACAGGGGTCAGTACTGTGAGCGTGAGAGAGCACAGGGGTCAGTACTGTGAGCGTGAGAGAGCACAGGGGTCAGTACTGTGAGCGTGAGAGAGCACAGGGGTCAGTACTGTGAGCGTGAGAGAGCACAGGGGTCAGTACTGTGAGCGTGAGAGAGCACAGGGGTCAGTACTGTGAGCGTGAGAGAGCACAGGGGTCAGTACTGTGAGCGTGAGAGAGCACAGGGGTCAGTACTGTGAGCGTGAGAGAGCACAGGGGTCAGTACTGTGAGCGTGAGAGAGCACAGGGGTCAGTACTGTGAGCGTGAGAGAGCACAGGGGTCAGTACTGTGAGCGTGAGAGAGCACAGGGGTCAGTACTGTGAGCGTGAGAGAGCACAGGGGTCAGTACTGTGAGCGTGAGAGAGCACAGGGGTCAGTACTGTGAGCGTGAGAGAGCACAGGGGTCAGTACTGTGAGCGTGAGAGAGCACAGGGGTCAGTACTGTGAGCGTGAGAGAGCACAGGGGTCAGTACTGTGAGCGTGAGAGAGCACAGGGGTCAGTACTGTGAGCGTGAGAGAGCACAGGGGTCAGTACTGTGAGCGTGAGAGAGCACAGGGGTCAGTACTGTGAGCGTGAGAGAGCACAGGGGTCAGTACTGTGAGCGTGAGAGAGCACAGGGGTCAGTACTGTGAGCGTGAGAGAGCACAGGGGTCAGTACTGTGAGCGTGAGAGAGCATAGAGGTCAGTACTGTGAGCGTGTGAGAGCATAGGGGTCAGTACTGTGAGCGTATGAGAGCATAGGGGTCAGTGTCAGTCTTGGGAGCGTGAGAGAGCGCGGGGGTCAGTACTGTGAGCGTGAGAGAGCATAGGGGTCAGTACTGTGAGCGTGAGAGAGCATAGGGGTCAGTACTGTGAGAGAACATTTGGGACAGCACTGTGAGAGTGAGAGGGCATATAGGTCAGTACTGTGAGAGTGAGAGAGAATGTGGGTCAGTACTGTGAGAGAGCATATAGGTCAGTACTGTGAAAGAGCATACGGAGCAGTACTGAGAGTGAGAGAGCATATGGGTCAGTACTGTGAGAGCGAGAGGGCATATGGGTCAGTACTGTGAGAGCGAGAGGGCATATGGGTCAGTACTGTGAGAGCGAGAGGGCATATGGGTCAGTACTGTGAGAGTCAGAGGGCATATGAGTCAGTACTGCTAGAGTCAGAGGGCATATGGATACTGACCCAGACGCTCTCTCACAGTACTGACCCAGACGCTCTCTCACTCCAAAAACTATATAAAGAGAGAGAGCATTCCCTCTGTGACTTTCATACGAAAGTTGATTTCCTGTGTTAAGATGGGTACTTAAATCCTCATAAAGCTTAATGCTCCCGCCGTGACTTGGACACTGAACCAGCCATGGCTCTTATCTTCCAGAGATTTACACTTCGGATACGTCTGAGTCCCAGACGAGCAGAGTTATCCCATCTCTGCATAACTGTATCAAAGAATAAGTAAACAGTGAATGTGGACAACCTTTATGGACGGGTCCTGGCAGTCGATTTCTATCCGCTGTCGTTTCAGTGAAGGCGAAAGGTCGTCCTCTGTGACCTCGTGATTCTCTAACAGGACTGCGGAGAGACAGAGAAAACAAACATTAAACAATGATCGCGACGAGAGTCATCACAACAGTGAATGAGTCAGTCGGCAATGCCTAGAGCAGTGGTTCTCAACCTGGGGGTCTAATGACGATTCGCCAGGGGTCGCCTATCGGCTTCTGGCCCCCCAGGAGAGAAGCGTTTTCTCTGCTCTTTTTTTTCTGACAGGGTTAAAAGTAAACCTGCCGCTCCGTGTGCACAGTGAGAGGGGATAGCAGTCTTCCCCTCTCACCTGTCACAGAAGTTCCAGCACAGTGCTGTGCTAGGACTCCTGTATTGGAGGTGACAGGGTCAATAAAGAGAACCTGTCACCTCCAATTGCTATTACACAGGGGCTTGTTACCTCTGTGTGATAGCAATGAAGTTAAGTGGAAAAAAAATAGATTAAAAAATTATTAAAGAAATAGAAATAAAAGAATGAAAAAAATAAAAAAGCGATTAAAAAGAAATAAGAAACAAATTATTAAAAAATAAGAAAATTATAAAAAATAAACAATAAGGTGAGGTTCCTCCTCAGCCCTCTCCTAGCGCAGCAGTGTCAGTTCTCCCGCCACGCCGCCAGATGTCGCGTCATCCCTAAATTTTACCGTTGGGGGTCACCACAACTTAGCAAATGTTACCAAGGGGTCCCGGCCCTAGAAAGGTTGAGAACCACTAGCCTAGAGAATAATGATTGGAGATTCCCCGAAGGATCTAATTAAATCATTGTTTACAAATCACTGAAGTGCATGTTAACTTAGTAAAGCGAACCTGGTCTATAACTAAAGAGCATAAATAGAAAAAGAGGAATACCCGTGCATATGGTTAACCCGTGCCACCTAGGGTGCCCCCTCAGTGACCCTTTGTCCCCGTGGCTGCGAGTTCACCCGCGATGGTAACGGATGACACGGACTGGGTGGAGTAATGGCGCGTGTTAACAGATTCCTGGTGTTCTATGTAAGGCAGCTCCTCCACTGGCTTGCGAAAAGATCAATATGTGAGCAATTTGTAAAACCTAGAAAGCGTAAATACTCAGTTGGATCTGCATAAAATCCAAGTGCCGAACAACTCCCCGAGTGACCACATGCTTGGTCCGCAGCCAAAGATGCATCTGTTTTCGTGTGATGTTTTCCTATGGTCTGTACTCGTGTGCATGTGATATCTCTCACCCAGCTGTGTACAACATTCTGATCATCATATACATTTTATACATGATTGTATGTTCAGATTTTTTAGATCTGGACTAAGAATTCAAAAGGAATTTTTTGGCAGTGTTCTCCGGCTACAAGCTTCTTCCAACCTAGCGGCATGACCAGCCAATGAAGTCAGGATCAGGATAATGGAGCAGACACCCTTTGCAGAGGTGTGTGGATAATGATTTATTGCTTCCAGAAGCTTAATTCTATTAGTCTTTGTAACTCTATATGCGGCAGCTGTATTATGTCTACACGCATGTGATCACTGCTTATTTAAGCAGCACAATGACTGTCATTATAATGGTAGAACATCTAACCCGGCCATACAATAGATTTTTCTTGTTCAGCTTTTGGGCTGATCCATCCGCACTAAACAGCATGAATTGGGGAATCTACAACTGCGGCTATTGTATGTGGACAACCGGCACAAACAGCTGCCAGATCACATGAACAGTGACTGTAGCTGATTGGTTGCAGTCAGTGTTCGGCTCACCTCCGTTGACAAATGTCAGCTTAGTAATCGACTTTGATCCAGCCCGCTGGGCCGCCCATTGTTATAACTGTGCCCGATTCCCGTGAATTCTAAAAGCATGGTCAGCCTACCCTAAGGCTTCATTCACATGGCCAATGGCATACATGCGGTTACATGCTTATATAGGTTTATAGAACATTTCTAAACACATATAAACGCATGCAATGATTTTATTGGTATACTGCACACCGGGCATTTACTGGAGCTCAAGTAAATTTACAGGGGTGGGGTGGGGGGGTTGTGTTGTTTTGTGTTCAGTCCGTAGTGGTGTAATGTAGGGAATGTTTTCTCAGGATGCACTGGGCGCCTTGGTACCAACTGAGCAGCTTTTAAAAGGCCCCATCATACCCGATTAATGTTGGTTACCATGTATACTATTCACACTATAGCATTGCGCTAAACACAAGGTACCGTGCATTTAGCACACAATATTATACAGTGAACCCAGCGTGTGGTACCATTATCACATTCTCAAACAATTCATCCCCACACAGCTCCCTCCTCATGTATCACTTCCCCTCCCTTTTAGATTGTAAGCCCTCAGGGGCCGGGCCCTCCTTACCATCTTGTCTTGTATTGTAATGTTTTCCTGATATTGTAAAGCACTGCGTAAACTATTGGCGCTATATAAATCCTATAATAATAATAATAATAATAATAGGTGCATTGCATTAGCATTTTTTTTATTGCACCTCCTAGAGACAGTACAATGCAACATGTGCTACCAAAATATCATGTGTTGCAGTGAAAAAAAAGTAGTGCATGCACTACTTTTTTCATCGTAGCACATGAAATTGCGGTACCGCTTACTGAGCTGCCAGGAGGTGTGTCGGGGTGTCATTTAAATGAATAGCAACACAACACACCTAGGGCATGCCAGGTACGCTGTGCCATAGTGTGAGCTTAATGCAATGCTATAATGTGAATAGGCCCTATGACCAATGACTGTATTTTGTAACACTAAGGTAACAAAAGAACACTTCTGTGACACTGTGTATATAAAACAGCATAATGAAACTAAAGCACAGCAACATCAAATACACTCAGATAAATCCCATAGTCAAAGCAGTGATGCTTCCCCATGAGTACATGCCTCCTCTGAATACTTCTTTAACCCCTTCGTGACTGACGACGTACAGTGTACGTCGCCAGCATCGGGGCTGTTTAAACAGACTCCCGGCGACTTTTGCCGCCGGGACTCTGTTTAAACTTGTAGAGCCGACTGTCGGCTTTACAACAGAAGCGATCCTGGCGACTTACCTGTCGTCCGATCGCTTCTGCGTCCCGAAGAAGGGGCCGCCCCCCCCGCCGGACACCCCCGCCGTGCTTCCCGGGCTCCGTTGCCCCTCCTACGGGCCCGGGACCG